TAAACTACCCTAAAATTATTCGATTTTCCAAATTTTGTGCTAAGGAAAATAAAAGATCGAAGAAATGTTGCATTTGTAATTTTCGTTAGGAATACTATAGAAATTAGTTGCAGTTGCTGATTACAAAACAACCTGAAGTGCTAAGGGTTAATTTGTTCAGAGTCGGTACAGGAATATACAGGTTGTTTCATGTGAACTGTCAAAGATTAAGGAATATTTTCAGTAAAATTGTCCAGGTTTCGTACAGAGTGTAAACAGATTATTACAGAGCTGTAACGATTGATAATTATTGCAGCCAGAAGCACGTGTATATTGGAGCGTTCCAGCGCGATGAAGAATAGTTTATAGTGCCATTAATTTTTCCGCGGGAAAATCGAAGTGTAAACGCGCGGAGTGTTCCGCAAGAATGATGGTAAAAGTTCACAGTGGATATTAACTGCGTTCAAACTCTGTTCCCGAGTTGCAGCCGCTCGAACATTACAACAATTCCCGCTCGCTCCGGCGAGCCGGTGTAATTGGCCGCTCTTCAGCAAACCAAGTGCGAACGGCAACTGCAAAAGGCGGCAATAATTCTGTAACACGGTTAAATAAAACAAACGTTTACGCAATCAATTCATTATCTTCAGTAATCTACAGTCATTTTTAACTTTGTTGATCTTGCCGGCGATAAACGGCGAGTGCCCCGGCCGATATTAAAAGCGCAACGATACAAGATAAATATCCACGCGAATCGGTACTTTTGCATTCCAATAAACAATCCGCGTTTTACGGGACGTTCTACCGTGAACAATTACAGCTGGCGAATAACCCATGAATTTCATGCGCGATTTTCATTGCGCGAAATATAGAATGCAGAGATGTTCCAAATTTAGGGATATTGCTTTACTTGTGGATGAATAATGTTCTTAAGAGAGAATAGTTTCTATTGTTTGAAATGAAAATTTTTGAACGTGGGAATGTAATGATTTAATGGAAATTAGTAGGAAAAATTATTGTAATAAATATCTAACGAGAAATATAGAATACAGAAATGTTCGAAATTTAGGAATGTTGCTTTACTTGTAGATAAATAATATTCTTAAGAGGAGAATAGTTTCTATTGTTTTAGATGAATATTTTTGAACATGGGAATGTAATGATTTAATGGAATTTAGTAGGAAAAATTATAGTAATAGATATCTAATGAGAAATGAGTGAAATTCAGAGGTTAATTAGATTATGATAGTAATTGAAAATATTAATATTCAGGTTCCACTTATCTGTTTCTTCCAATTGTTTCGAGAGACGTTGATTTTCCATAAAGATCGTTTACGGATAACGCAGAAGAGGAAAGAATAAATCGTATTAATTCGATTTAATACGGGAACAACCCCTGGAACTCGGTACTTCCGTTGAAATATGCATGAAATTCAACAGAGAACTCCATGAATCGCTGTGTGTCACTGAAATTTCTCAAGGTTTCTTAAGCAGAAATAAGCTAGCGTAGATAACAGATTTCCCATGGAGAGATCGTGGCATAAAAATAAGGATACCGCGGGAGCACGGGGGATGACAATATTTCCCAATAAACGAAACGGTCTCGTTTAACTCTCCGGCTGACGGACAGCCATTTTAAAACCGTAATAAAATTCCCGTCGCGCCCGTGCTCCGAGATGGAGTTCTGTAAGTTATTTTCGCGCACGGTTTTAACTTGCACACACTACAATCACGCGAGTATATTATAATCACATAAATGAATTAATAAATAAGTAAATATGTAAACGAAGCGGCGGGCCAGAATGACTCCGCGTTTGTCATCGGGAGTTTAATGGCGCTTATTAGCGATGAACTGCAGATAAATTAACATGCATTATTCAATATTCGTGCAATTTTAATAAACATATTTCCGTGATACCTGCAAATGTCGTTCGTGTTAAATAACGACTATTCGCTTTCATAGAGAACTATTTATAATAACTCGAAACTATGGATAGCACGATTTTATCAATTCCCCTATAACGCCGTCGTGTGTTTTAGGGAGAATTAATTTCCATGAAAATTTCATTGAAATTTACAGCGTTTACCATCATCCACGATCGTGTGAAATGAATTGTATTCTGATTTCGATTTCTATTCTGATTCTGATTTTCATTCTAATTTTCATTTCTATTCGAACTTTTGTTCTGATTTTTATTTTTATTCTAATCTTTATTGTTATTCTGATTTTGATGTTCTAATTTTCATTTCTATTCGAATTTTTGTTGATTTTTATTTTTATTCTAATCTTTATCGTCATTCTGATTTTGATTTTTATTCCAATTTTCATTTCTATTCGAATTTTTGTTGATTCTTATTTCGATTCTAATCTTCATTTTTATTCTGATATTTATGTTCATTCTAATTTTTAGTACCACGATCACCCTATTACAAGCGTATCACTCGCGCGAACATTACGATCGAGGATAAAACTGTGCTTTCCCGGCAAGCTCCGCCAAATATTTCATCCCTTCGCGGTGTAAAATTTTATTTCTCCGCGAGGTGGGTCGCGATCGAACGGCCGTTGTTAAGTCGCAACCCTCTCCGCTGGCTCCCCCTTTCCCTTGTTCCGCCATCTTCCTCTTTCTCCTTTGACCCAGTCCCAGGCCCGTCCTCTTTCGCAGCCCCTTTCCCATGACGTGCGTGCGTGCCTGCGTGCACACGTTGCTCTCCATTGTTTACGCCAGTGATGCACAACCTTTTGCACACAAAGCTCCGCATGCGACGTCACATGTTAATCGCGGATAACGAACTTCCCCTCCTTTCAGTCGTACAAACAACTATTAACACTTCCATCGCTGCTGCGACGTTCACTGTTTTTTCACTCGCGAAAATCTACAAACGCAAGCTGTTAACACTGGATTCTCATAACGAGTCGATTCAACTAATATTGAATCTTATACACATTATTTGCTAAACTCGTGTCGATTAGTGCTGATACGCTAATATTAATCCTAATCGTCTACGTTTAAACGAATTTCCGAAATCTAAACGAACATCAATTTTTCTGAGAACAGTAGAACAAACTGTACAGTAAATGTCAGTAAATCTACGTCTACGTTTTAACCTTGAATTTCTGAAATCTAAACGAACGAACATCAATTTTTCTGGGAACAGTAGAACAAACTGTACAGTAAATGTTAGTAAATCTACGTCTACGTTTGAACATTGAATTTCAGAAATCTAAACGAACTAACATCAATTTGTCAAAGAACAATAGAACATACTGCATTAGCACTAAACCTACCAAATAGTTAAAGACTTCTTGTATTTCCAACATTTTAGAATCTTCAACAGCACATCTATCGAGACTTGAATCAACTTATAATTCAGTTTGCTAAATCACTCGAATCATTTCTCAGAGCAACATCTACTACCTTTTGAATAACTGCAAAATGAAGAAATCGAGTGACTCATTTTAGTCCTATAGTTCTACCATCGAGTTTTGCAATGAAAAATCCTTAGAAACGAGGTCTGCGAGAATGTTCGAGTTAGGTTGTGCATCACTGGTTCACGCAGTGCCTCCCGATCGGCAGCCTTTCATCTTCCTCTCTCCTACCTGGTACACTTCCTTTCTTCCTTGTTCCTGCCGGCAAGCTGGGTCATCGCGTTTCTATGGGGTGTAGGCTCGAGCAACGCCGCCGAAAGGTTACGCCGGCCGGGCGTAAGGGATCCACAAAGATTTCCCGTTTCGCCTTTCGGGACCTGACAATGATTTCTCGTACCCTCGAGCTTCAAGGAACGCAGCGTGCGCGCTGAAACGGGGAGGGCAGCTTCGCTCCCGAGCGTGGAACAGCGTCAAGGACGGGCCTCCGTGACCCCGGGGACACGTATTTTAATATATCCTGTTTCTCGAGGTGTCGAGACCTTAACAGTTGCCCGGAGAAAGTTTCGCGGCGACGTGAAGTGATAAGCTCGAGCGGCTTGCCGCGCTAAAACGGGACTGCGAGCCGTTGTGGCGGATTTTTACGGTGTCCTTGTTTCGAGGGAGTTGCCGAGGCTAGAGTGGATTTTCTTTGTGCTTTTGTTTGTTGGATTAATAGTGAGTTATTGGGTGAGTTGTTGGATTGTTGGATAGATTGTTGGATTATTGGATAGATTGTTAAATTATTGGATAAATTGTTAGATTATTTGAAAGGATATCAGATGTTTGTGGTGGCCTTGTTTCGAGGGAGTTGCCGAAGTTAGAGTGAATTTTCTTTGTTTTTTGTTTGTTGGATTAATAGTGAGTTATTAGATAAATTATTAGATTGTTAGATAAATTGTTAGATTATTGGATAAGATATTAGATGTTTTTGGTGTCCTTATTTCAAGAGAGTTGCGCAGGTTAGAATGTATTTTCTTTGTGTTTCGGTTCGTTGGATTAATAGTGAGTAATTAGATAAACTGTTAGATTATTAGATAGGTCATTATACGAATTAGTAAACTATTACATAGATTAGTAGACTATTATGTGTAATAATAGATTACCATCTAAATAACTCGATACTTCCACAATGAAGTAGAAACTAGATTCCATTTCCAAGATCAAACTTTCACAAGAAATTTCCTACTATCAATACAACAATTATAATTTAATAAACACAAGTAGTATCTACATTATCACATACCCCTAACTGAAAACTAAGAAAACATCTCAAAATAAAAAAGGCAAACGAACATATTTGAATGTACGTAACTCAAACGACAGATATCCCACACGTTCCTCGTGCAAACATTCCCCACGAGCGTTCATTAAGAATGCACAATCGATCTCGTGGCCCCTTGTCGCGCAGGTGGTCGACTTTCGAGATTTTCACGCGCTCGTTATCGGCGATCCAAGAAGTCTTTATCGCTCCGCCGTGGCTGGAACGGCGCACGGAATTTCGCTACGGCGACGCCGTTAAGCCGGCCGAGTGATAGGGGATCCTCGTCCTTGAACGCCGATAACCATACGCTAATTAACTTGGCCGATGCTAATTGCCGTCCCTTTTTCTCTGTTTCAGAACGCGAGCGGCACAGCGCCAACAGGCTATCCGCGTAAGTATCCTATAAATTTAAAGGTCGCTCGAAGGAAAAAGCAACCGTTCCCCGGCCGCGGCTCTCTCGCGCAGCCAGTCCAGATTACGATTCTCTCGTCGGGAATTTATCGCGCGCCGCGAGTTTCGGCCGAAACGGAGAACCGGCTGTGTATACTGTTTTTAGTCGTTGAATAATAGCTGGCAGTTTAGAAACTTCATTAGAAGACTGCCTACCATTCATCTAAAAGCAATTGTATTTTCTTACGAGTTCACGCTTTGCGGACGATTGTCGACGTTTCGACGAAATCGAGCCTTTGTATTTCGAATCTAAAGTCATAAACAGTTGATTTCAATTCTCCAACAATAAGAGATCTACATTTAGTTCCCTTTTTCCTTAGTAATAAAACAATTGATACAAAAACGTCGACGTTTCGACGAAATCGAGCCTTCGTATTTCAAATCTAAAGTCGCGAACAATTGATTTCAATTCTCGAACAGCAAGAGATCTATGTTTAGTTCCCTTTTTCCTTATTAATCAAACAATTGATACAAAAATGTCGACGTTTTCACAAAATCTAACATTCGTATTCCAAATCTAAAGTCACGAACAATGATTTCAATTCTCGAATAACAAGAAATCAATATTTATCATCCGTTTTCCTTACTAATGAAACAATTCATACAATACCATTGACGTTTCGACGAAATCTAACCTTTGTATTTCGAATGTAAAATCATAAACAATTAATTTCAATTCTCGAACAGCAAGAGATCGGTGTTTAGTTCCCTTTTTCCTTAGTAATCAAACAATTGATACAAAAACGTCGACATTTTCACAAAATCGAACCTTCCTATTTCAAATCTAAAGTCACAAACAATTGACTTCATTCAAACAGCAAGAGATCGTTCAGTTTCCCTTTCCCCAATTAATTAAGCAACTGACAATTCAACTTCAACTTCTACTTTTCTACATTTCGAAGAATCTTCGTCCGCAAAGGGTTAAACGGCTCATCGTGTATATCGTCGTTTTACGACGGGAAACAGTCGAAGCATCAACGATAATATTTCCCGGTCTCGTTCGGGGATCGCCGGCGCGCGATCGGGCCGTCCATAATAGTCCCGCCTGGAATCCATTTTGACGGGAATTAATTCGCGCGATCGATAATAAACGGTCGCTCGCGTATGGTTTTTCACCGTTGGCCGCGCGTCAATTAAATTCTTCCTGCGATTGGAGCCGGTTTTTCCAGCTCGGTATCTCCATTTTCCAGGAGGCACGACGGGACACGCGTCGCCCGCTTGTTTATTCCCCGACGGTTTTTTTTCGCCGCGTCATCCCGCGGGACTACGCGTCCGCCGAACAAAACTATTTGCTCGACCGGCACGCGAGAACCCAAAAGTATCCGGCCGGGTCGGGAACTTTTTACCTTTTCTCGTTTTTTAGAATCGGGCCGCGTCCCGAAGGTATTCTGAGACTCGAAAACAGAGGGATTTCTGGGAATTTCTCGAAACTTGTTTAGGGATTCGATTAAAACGAACGTTATTTTTGTGTGACATATTATTCAATTATCCTGAATGTTTTTGTCTGCGGATTCGAAGCTTCTCGGAAAATTCTTGGCTGTTTTGAAGGGACGTCTGGAAATTGATCTATTTACGTATATTATTTTCGCATTGTTTTATATTGTGAGACTGTGAAATGTTAACAGTCATTGATGCTATTCGTTAGATTACAATATTTTGAATTGATTTATGTTATATATCAGAATATTTGCAATAGGATTTTCGAGTATGAAAATATTTTCGTTATTCTAGATTATATCTATCGATAGGTAGGTCAGATAGGTCAGACCAATATTTTCCTCGTTAATACTTCTAGTTCACGAATTTCCCAGAGAACGTAGATCCACAGATAATCACAATATCCCAGTGTAAACTCCTAAAACGATTTAAATCCCGTAAGCCACTGAAAAACAAACGGAACTCTCTTTGCACTTTTTCGGTGGCCGTCCAAATAAATCGGCCGGCCGATTGTTTCGAAAGCGGCCGAGGGAAAAATGGAAAATATTTGGACGCGCGGAGAACGGTGTTTACTCCACTTTCGCGGTATGCTCGAGATTCCGGGGCGTCTCGTGGCGCAATCGTGTCCCGCGGCGGAGAGACACGCAACGGGGAACGGAAGTTTACAAACAAGAGCGGCGACGCAGCTTCCTGCCGGCGCGTGGGAAGCTACCGAGCGTCTTCGTGAACCTGGGACCCGAACGCGGTTCCCGGCCGTGATTCCGACGTGTATTTTTCCTTTCGTTTCGCGCTGTGTAGCATCGGTGTGCGCAATTGAAAATATTGCAAGTATTTGGAGACTGGAAACCCCTGAAAGTATTCTACGCTAATTAAACCCGATGCAAATTCAAATGAGGAATATAATTCGAAAAATGGAATTATAGGAAATATGTTTTAACCACTTAACTTGTACGCTCGAGATAATTCGATATATAATTTTTCACACTCGAGTATACTCGAGAATTGAAAATAACAATGTGACAGCAAAGAAAAAAAATAGTTTTATTGATATTTATCATTTATTCAAGAATAAAATATAGCCTTTTTCCATGGAACAAAAGCGCAGTATATCAAAATTGATTTTTTTGCCCGGTTTTTTTCAAAAAAACTGTGTGTTAAGAGGTTAAGAAACATTCTAAAAACAGTAGGGTTTAACCCTTTGCTGACGGATGACATTTCGACGAAAATTTTCGTATCTGGAAGACTGAGTTGTACAGATGATTTAATTGCTCGAATAGCAAGCGATGATTAATTATTCGAATAGCGCTATTCGAGTAATTAAATCATCTGTAATACTTAGCCTTCCGAATATGAAAATTTTCGAAATGTCATCCGTCAGCAAAGGGTTAAATGTTCTATTTATAGTTTTCTCTATAATATCACTTTATCTATTGTTTCATGTTCCATGCATTCTATGCAACGTTGCACTGAAATCGCCGACAAATGCACGAAGATCTCGGTAACAATGATTAACCGAGTATATGCGTTAATTGGTAGCGCGCAGTGATATCAGCGAACGATACATCGATCTCGGTGTATGGTAACCGGTCGAAATGTAAATTTCACGTAATCGACTGGCCGTGAAACGATTCTAAATAGTTTATGCGCACCGGCGGGAACACTTTGCGCAGCGCAAACCTGCCGAGCGCGAGCTCGTTCGCGCGTGAAGCGTCTTGTTTTGCCGATGAATTTATTTATTCCGATACAAGGTAAATAACATCCACTTACGGGGTCCAGCTATTTACGGAATGCTGTAAACATCGGCGATAAATCCGAAAGCAAACATTGTAGGTCAAGTCAACTGTTACCACATATCGGGAGATGAAAGCGATGACTGCGGGCAACGTTTATCGCGGATGATTGATTGCGCCGCGCTTCGCTTGACTCGTTTAAATTCAGATTCGGGGCGGGGATAGTTTCTTTTGAATTATCTGCTTGCCGTCATGCAACGGTGTCGTAATGATTTTCCTCAAACTAACCAGGAAAAATGATTTATTTCGTAATGCTTACTCAGGATGAATTCAGTTCTCTTTTTATGCTTAATTTGAAGGTTGAATGTTGTTTACGTCAAGAGAAATTGGAAAATAATATTATTGTTAACCCCTTGCCGTATTATATTTACTTTTGCTACTAAGTGCAAAATGTTTCTATCAGCAGTTTAGAAGAAACGCAAAGAAATTGTCCACTGCACTTTATGTACAAATTTTCTTTCGAGATAATATGTTGGTAATAACAAAATAACGTCCATATATTGATGCATCATACAAAGCTTAATATTATATATAAGACCTTATAATTTCGCAAATCAAATCAAGTGGTGACTGAGAGTCACCTCTCGAGTGCAAAATAATCTCCAAACGATCAAAGTAAAAACTTAATCATTACACAGTTACAACTACAATTCAACAATCTCTATACAAAGTAAAACATTCAATTACACCATTAACACTAACTTACGGGCATTTATTATAAATTTATTCTATTGTTCCTGAGGAAGTTGATATTCGTTCTTTAGATTTCGGAAACTGTACATGTAGAAATAGACAATCAGGATTCATATTCGTGTAATCAACGAAAACCGATGAAAACATTTACCAAATAATGTTTATAAAATTCAATCTGCGTCAAATTGACGCGTTCCGTAAAGCTAGTGTTAACGCAATATCGATATAATAATCTCAAAGCGATGTCAAGCGAAAGCACGAAATCTCGTTCGCTCGACGTGTACGTTAACGAAAAGAGAAAAGCCCACGTCGCGGAACGTCGTTAAATCGCGTCAGGGTTTCAACGGGCGGCCAATATCGCGATAGATTAGCCAGAAGCCGAGCGGTCCGGTTGCCTTATAAATCGGGTCGGACAATTTCATGAAATCGTTCACCCTTGGCGATCAAGCAACCGTCGGCCGATGCCGGCGAAGGGGCAGGGGGGTTGGAAGAGAATTAACGAGCCCTGGAAACGGTAGGCAGAACACGTCTCCTCTCCGCCCCGCGTTCAATCCTCTCCGAAGCTTGTGTTGCTCGAGGGTTTTCGGCTTCGACCACCGTAACTGCCCCTAATAACCCTGCCGCGGAGTTCGCCGACGGAAAACTGGGTCGAATCGCTTATCGACGTGACTTTTTCGACGGCGATCGGGTTTCGGTCCTCTGTAAACACGCCTTGCTGCCTCTAACCACCCCCGGAACTACCCCCGCAGGTTCGCCAATCTCTTCCGACGACAAAATTCCTTCGATTTTTCATACTACTGTAAAATCTACCTGGTTTCGGAGCCTGTTTATTACTCGGAACGCTCGATTCTTGTATTTTGATGAGACTCACTGTGGATTTTGCAAATTTTGTGTAGGTTTTCGTGTAAAATGTGTGTTTCAGAGAGCAAACGGATTTGATTGGTTAGCTCTTTCGTGAGATCCGGATTACACGCGTTCTGTTATGTATGATCTTAAATAAATTGTGATGGTTGTTAAGTAA